TAGAACTCAGAGGGTGTACTTTCTTTTTCACATGACTGTAAACCTGCATTCGTTTCTAAATGTCTGAGTTGCTGGAAAAAGGAACACTGGAAGTGATTTCCAGTCCTTAGTGTGACAGGATGAACACCTTTTCCACTGTATAATTCTGTTCAGGAATATGAATATCAGTCAACTGCAGAAGCAAAATTTGTAAAACAGCTGGACCAATGTGAGATGATTATTCAAGCCTTAGAGTATGAAGAATTAGAGAAAAGACCTGGGACGCTACAAGACTTTTATGATTCTACTGCCGGTAAATATCCTTTTTTTCCTTTAAACAAGTTTACATTTATGACTCATGGGACAAAACAAAACAAAATGTTGTAGTGTGGGGTTCTCTGCTGAATTTGTCAACAAGATGCATATGCTATCTCCAGAAAGTATCCATTCTGTTCCCCCACTCCAAGCAAATACTCAGCATTCTGTGGACCTGAGCCATCCTGGTGATTCCCCCTTATTCCCTAAATACTGTTTGCCACATCTGCAAACCTTGGATCCTTAACTTACTGGGCAGAGCTATCCTACTGCCCAGTCAGAATTTTGGCATGTTCAAGTGCTTGCTAATGAGAGAGAAGAAAGCCACCCCCTCCCTACTTTTACAATGAAACATCTTCCACAACTCATGATAGATGGGAAATTAATTTAAAACAGTTGAATGGGACCCCCATCCCCTTTCAAAATGTTCTGGAGTTGAAGTTTCCCAGTCTGAGAAGCTGATGATACTGAGGTAGGAAAGAAGACTAGAAGTTGGATTGTCCTTTTTGGGGCTGACTGGAAAAAGACTCATTTCTTTGGCCTCTAGAATGCTATCTTAGGGCCAGATGGTTATTCATAGCCTAAATCTTATAAAAGTCTAGTTACATGTACATTTTCTCAGAATTTCAATTTTGATTGTATGACCTTGTCCTTCAGGAAATGGTTCCAACCGTCAAAGTCCTCCATATGATTGAAGTTGCAAGACATCCTTGTTAGTCAGGTTTCAAAGACACAAGAAGCTGCCCACAGCCATTTCCCTGATGGTGGCAGCAGCTGCTCCTCTGTTTTGCATGACTTTGGCTTGTCTACTTGTATTCCTGAAGGCTAGCAAAAAAGCTGGCAATTTGAACAATGATGTTCAAATGTGATGTTGATTCCAGAGGCAATGGACGTTTAAAAGCCCAGTCCATTGTGTTAATGTGTGCTGTGGACTTGTTCCTGCCCACATCTGATCATTTCAGGTGCTCAGACCATAGATTAAGGCAATAACACAACATGTCTTTAGCATTTTTTTCAACATTCCATATTTTATTGTAGTTTTATGAAGGAACACTTTAGAAAATAGAACTAGTGTAGGCAAGCAGGTCAGTACCAAATATAAAAGCTTACACAGTACAGTAACAAAATTCTTGTAGATGAAAGTATGGTTACCAAAGTTACTGCCATAATCTTGCACTTAGCAGACTTGAAGATTATGTTAACTAATTGTGAACTCTTGATCTACAGGAAAATTTAGTCACCCAGAAATAGTCCAGCTTGTGTCTTCCATAAATACAGAAAGAAATGCAAAAATAGCTGCAGAAAACAGTGATCCTCCAACTTGAATCACTTTTGAAATGTGCTTAGCTGTATCTAAAATAAATTATTTTATGATTCCAACATACGTGTGTCTGTGTAGTCTTGTGACGTAATATACATGAATACTGTTGGTTTATCAAATAATTTGTTGAAAATGTAGGCAATAAATAAGGCTGTGATACAGGATAGGTAAGCAAGTGTTTTCTGAGTATTGGAATAAAAAAATTAAAGTGGCAGCTTTAAAAGCTAGTTGGAGTTTTATAGGGGGCAACTGGTATCTAGAATATTCAGTAATGAAAATTGGACACAACATGAACCTCTTTGTTGCTTTCATCACAGGCTCTCTTCACAGAGTTTATAAGGTGAGAAGACATGTTCACTGTATGGGCAGTTCCAGCTTGTTGAACTTCAGACATGAAAACCCAAAAGGTTAAATTGCATGCCAGTTTTTCAGCCTGCTTCTCTGAATATTTGCAATAGAAACAGCAACATTCTTTTAAATTAACCACATAACCTAGCAAGATAGGAAAACAAAAGTGAAATGGGAAAGTAAAACTAGCTACCCAGGTCCCACCCTACCTAATTTCTGGATAAACACTAATAATTCAAATTGGATAATGCTGCATAAATTTAATTGAGCTCCATATCTTTTAGATCTCACTTGTTTTTTTGCCAGGTCCAGAAGTCATGCATTACAAGATTTATTTAGTTTTTTTATATAGTTTAAAGGTCCAGCCCTAGATTTAAGAATTGAAATTTTGAATATTCTTTTTCTCTCAAAAAAAATATAAAGATGCTCAGCTCTTTTGGGTAGGCACACCTATTTTACTCCAACTGAAGATAGCTAGAAAAATGTTATTACAATCAACAATTGCAGACAACCATGGAGATAATCTGGATATAATATAATTTGTGACATTGTGTTCAGTTCCATTCCTCATCCCAATGGCACATATAATAATGAACAGGCTGATTGTCTTTAACAGTCAGAGGCAGGCACATAAACAGGAAAGAGAACAAAAACAGCTTGGTTGTTTACACCAAGAGAAATGGAATATGTAATTGCTTGAACAATAAATTTGGGCTTATTTTCTGAAATTCATTATAAAAACATACATAGGCAAATGTCTTAAGATAATAGATGCCATTTTAAAAATTGACACAATTGTATATTGTAGAAGCTACAGATGTAAAATCATAAGCATAAATAGCATAAAATGGGTAATATAGAAGGACAGCTAGCAGTTACTGCTGCAGCACTAGCTGCAGTTGGTTGCATCCCAGCTGATCTCTCTGCCTAGTATTGTGTGGGTGTGTTCTCAGTGCAGTCCTACACCTTTGTACTCAGCCCTGCAGAGAGAAAAAACATTTCATGTGTCGGTCATCTATAAGCAGCAGGACAAAGGAATCCCCCATCTAGCAATGGAGCTCCTCTTCTGTTTCTGAAAGTCGGGTGCCTGCAATGGGGCTCCGGGCACTGGCATGGGCTGTAGAGCTAAGAACTTCTTCAAAGCTTCCTCCAGGGTGAGTTGTACCTCCAACTTTTGTCTGAAAGGAACAAAATAATTATTTTGCCAAAATCAGTTACTTCATCCGTCCCCCTCTGAGCTGCATACATGCTTTAGATTACCACACCAAGAACAATTTGGTGATCTTGCATAGTAATTAATTCTATCTTTTGATTGTCCCAATTCCCAAGGTAGCAGGTAAGGCAGAAAAAAGGCAGATCTTGTGCCAGGTCAAAACTTATTATAACCTTATTGGTGTCTACAAAAAAGGCAAGATTCAACAGCTTTGTGTTACAGAATTGTGACAATTTGTGTTGAATTATGTATTTTGAAATACAGAAGTTCCTTGATTCAAGATAGCTCTTAAATTAGATGCAAAGTTGGTTATGAATCCATCTACTTAATGTTCTAATGTTACATGTTTGGAAAAATTAATAACACAGGGTAAACAAGGAACCTATCTGACTAATAGAAATTACCAGGCTCTGGATACCTTGGAAAAAAATACAGATGAATATATCACACTGTGCTTCTTTATACAATCGCATACCTGTTCCCTTGGCTATACATCTGGGAATAAGCTTACTTGAAAATATGGCTTGCTCTTGAATCAAGCATTTCAGTTGATAAACAACACACTGGGATTAAAAATGCATTGGGAATGCACAGCAGGAACTCAATGAAAATCCAGTTTGCTTATAACACAACAATGACTTTACTGACCAACTTTTCTTAGGGCGTGCCTGGATGCCCTGATCCCTTTATTCTTATATCCCATACCTTAATGCTCGTAACAGTGGTCTCAACCTTTTCTTCGAAGGATTTGAATGTAGGAGAATTCCTTAAAAGGATAAAATAAAGACCAGAATTTGTTAGCTCTTAATCCTTGTTCATTTCCTTAACTGATTTTTGGATAATGCAGTCCAGTGATTTCCAAATGATTTCCACCATGTATTCCACCCACTGTAGATTATGTAACCATCTTTGAATGTCAGTTATATTGAACTAGGGCCCAAACTCAATGTAGCATTACTTAGATAATTTGCTCATGTGTGTTTCTTGATTAAAAATAATTTAAAGAAATAGATGCAAGGGGATCAAGGTGGGAAATGTGGTATAAGATGAGAATAGCACTAATTTATTTCCCTGTGATGGAAGGCATGAGTGGGGAAGGTTCTGGAATGGAGCTTCAAGGTTGCCAGGAAGGGGGAGAGACATTCCAGGGGAACCACCTCCTCAGTCCTTAGCTGGAGTGTGGGAAAGCCAAGAGAATGAGACTGGCCCCTCCCTAAGGGCCTCATGATTATAGTAACTACTGTTGTAGTGTAGATTTAGTCTGGCGAGATTCTGTCTATTAGGTGTAAGCTAATAAAGGAG